TTGAAACTGTTGACCTTGACCTTTTGGCAACGCTAATCTAAAACACACATCAAAGAAAAAGTAATGAACAGTTTAATCAAGATAGTGGCAATATTTCTGCTTTAAAAATAAAACTAGAAAGTTTAACAGAGGTGACACATTACGCCTATTTTATTCATAGCCGACTTGGTGGTGATTGGTAAAGAATCGCTGGGCCAATTACGAGTTTAAAATTGACCATTACGTTACAAAACAACATAAAACTCTCTTTAAATTTCACTTAAGGAACATAAAGCGGGGCTAAACACGGCTATGATCCAAGTAAGAGAATTTTAACAACATGAACACGTTTAATTGTAAATGTCAAAGATAAGATCAGTTACCTTATACAGGCTATTTAACTTGTTTTCTAATACGTAACCTTGTATTCTCCGTTATTATAAGATTTTACGACTTTTAACGTAAATGTGACAGCGTTTGTCATCACTTTGAGATTACATCAGGCTAATTATAAGACACTTATAATACATACAATACAATGTATTTAATAATTAGAGAGCACATGCACATGTATTATAATATTACAATCATGTATGTTTATTTGCAAAATTTTAGAACATTAAGAAACGTGTATTCATTTGTACGAAGTAAACTTTAGAGATTATTCCTAACGGGATATGATGTGTTACCAGAAATATGGAGTTAAATATAAAGATATAAAGGCAAAGATAGTGTACTATTGGGATGATAATCACATTTTACATGTTACCAATGTTTATGTTGTCATTTCGACTATTTGGAGTAAAGGCTCATCCCAAAGTCGGTGTGACACTTTGGCTAAGTTTTTGCGTGCACGTTAGTATCTCCAAAACGACTGAAGGGAATGGATTGAAACTTCCCACACTTGTTTGAGAGCGTAATATGTGATCACTGTTCAAGGCGCATAACTCTGATATGGATTTTGACAGAATTGTGACCCTTTTTGAACTTAACAGATCTACACTATCTAGGCTCTTGTTTTACTATTATCACTGAAAATAGTCGAGCACGCTATCTAACCGACAGCTCTTGCTTTTTTAAGTTTTTCCTTAGGTAGTGACCTGAATCTGCATGGGGTAGATATAGAGTATATGTATCGAGTTACTATAGTTACAATGGAAACAGTATAAGTAAATCGATGTCGACAACTAATATAAACACTCCTCTTTAGTATATCTTGTAATGGTCATTCTTACACCATTAATGTCTCAAATAAAACAAACAAATTGACTTACAAGTCACCGCTAACAGGATTGTTCAAGAACCATTACCGCATTTAAGTAAACAAGTTTATGTGAAAATCTGAAATATCAAACTGTATAAAAATTCCTATAAACTTTATGGTCGTCAAGATCTGTCGTGCCTCACATCTGTGAAAACCATAAAAAATATGGTGTGAGCGCGCTCCACTGCGACCACATTCGCATCTTCTCGGCCCTTTATATGGCTATTTTGAATAATAGCCGAGTTGATCCGATTTGTGCGTCCATTTTTATCACATACGGGTACATATAGAAAATATATAATTGAATTGCTTTATGCCTTCTAAGATGGTGATACATCATATATGAGCTTGCAAAACAAACCGTATTTAGTGAATGATTTGTAAGGTTCGATTGTTGAGAAAATTGCAAAATATCAACTGTCGATGTAAATTTGTTTTGCTACCTTTAAATTTAGCTGACTGGTGACAAATAGAACATAAATTTTTACTAGTCATTATATGTAATGACAGACTGTTATTACGTTTGGCTCGTGCCAACTATTTTTATACATATTTTATGAGGTAGAAATATTTAGTGGTGTGTGGCCATGACATTTTTTCCGTGGCGGTTCAAAACACAATTACGGGCATTACACATTCAATTACTCTCAATATTTTTGTCGAAAAACAAAACAAAATGACTGATGTTATTTTGACGACTAAATTTTATGAATTTCAAGAATGTAAAAAAATCCTTTACAATGGCTGCTACTTTTTTCTTTCATCTATTTTTACACGACGTTAAAATACTTGTTTTTGGCTATTTTAGTTTAAAGTACATTAAGTTAAAATTCTTTAAATGAACGACATATCCCCAATCCTTATTACTTGACAGTTATAATGCTTTACTAGTACATATATATGATTTTTTGGGGTTGGGATTAACGTCGCACAAACACAGTATAGGTCATATGGCGACTTTCTAGCTTTACTGATGGAGGAAAACCTGAGTTGTCCTTCTGTGCATTGATTAGAACCACCGACGTTCTGTAAGGTAGCTGGATAGCTTCCTCACATGGGACGTAAGGGGCAAGTTGTTAGAAGTCAATGAGCTTATTCGTTCAACAACTTAATGAGAACAACAAAGAGCCAGGCCTTCACGTGCCTGTCCGTGACATCGCATAGACTACCATATATAGTGTCCGCTGGTCAGTTAGAATATATTTAACTAATAAAGTATAAACTTTTTTTATTAATATTAATAAAATATTTTTCATGAAAGATCAATACGTTTAAATGCATCTTTTTCATTGATTTAGGCGTGTATTTTATTGATACACATCATGCCACGAATTGCTAACAATAAATTCAAATTTCAGTAATCACGTTTTCCTTTAATAAAGACAGTTTGATATGAAAAAAGAACGGAAAAAAAAAAAAAAAAAAAAAAAAAAAAAAAAAAACACGCAAAAAAAGCTCATTTATAACACTAAAACACGACGGTATAACCTTAAATTAAAACAGATTATTCAAAAGTTAATATACATTAACCGACCAAATGCGTTAACGATTACCTAAAATTTCATTTGTATCGCCCTATTTTTTATATTTAATATTTAGAACCATAGAATTTCCACAAGTGCTCCGTATAACTTTACGGATATGAATTAAGTATAACTTCATTGAGGCCATAGTTCAGATACACCTCTTCAATTATTCAGTTTTATTTATCATACAGTATTTTCTTTCATAATCTTTTTTGGGCTTTTTAGACACCACCCGTACAAAGTCAATATTTGATTCCAGACCATCAATTAACTTTACAATTAGAGCAAGAAAATCAAAGCTGAACTTTTTGCCGATAAAAATGAAATGTGAAAACTATTACACTCAAGTCAAAATATTATCACAACTTATAAAAGGTTTATATTATCCGACAAAAGATAACATATGTTAAATAAATTTGCTTTATCACTGTAAAACACTTCAAAGGAGTTGAAAAGTAGAAATAGTGATAAATGAACCGTGAAACTATTGCTTATTTTGACGTACTCATAACTTGTAACGATTTATAGCCAATATATCAAATTTTATTGTTGTTATTGCAACATGCATTTTGCAACATAAAAAAAAATCTTGTCGCACGTTTGCAGCTCAAAAAACTCATATTCTTTGATCAAAAGCTTCAAAATTTGATATTAAATCTTTTATCATGCGAGAATAAAGACATATTGTCCTTATCTGGGTATTTATGTTTGCTCATTAGTTCCAAACAATACTTTCAAATTGCCCAATAATAAAAACTGAATGAATAAAAAAAGCAGAATCCATTATTTCTTTTACCCCACTATTGTTCTTTCGTTTGCCATGACCATAAAACGTTGAGAAGGATTTGTGACAGACGGACGGACTTACTGAAGGACGCCGAGGGACGGAACAAGGATGCTTGATTTAAATGATATACTGCAATAAGTTGATGATGACTCATACAGAACGAGAAATTACATGAAAATATTAACAAAGAGCAATTTTTAAACCGATATGTAAAGATTTACAAAAAGAGAGCACGTTGACTTTTCTAACAATGGCCCATAATCTTAATTCATAAAATGTACAATAGCACAAAGTCAAAGCAAGCTCAGACTTCAGAAAAACAAGAAACTCATTAAATCAATTTGTCATGTTTTAAAGTCATAACTTAAATAAACCATATAATTGATTATGATTTTTCTGATAATTGACTTCAAAGGGTTTTTGTGTTAGAAGAAAATTAACCAGTATGTAACAATGACATGTATTGAATTACGACCAGGAAAATATTGAGTAAAAACAAAATATTGAAAATAATAGACAGTTTTCTTAAGAAAATTCTTAATAGAGCCAGAAATTAAAGTTTGAAAATGAAAGATACTTTATAAAGTTATTAAAAGAATGGTATATGTAATTAACTTGTCATGATTAAAACAATTTTGACAGTTAAGTATTCGAAAAATTCTTCTAATTTCTTCAAAATTTGAAAATCTATAACATTGATTGAAAATAAGACCACAAAAATGCAACCATATGCATCTATTAACCAACAAGTTGTCATATATTCTGACTTAAAGGTAGAAACTTTTCGTTCATTAATTAAGTATCAATGTCGAACGCATGCGCTCTTGAAACATAGACATTTTTTTTATCATTTTTTTAAAGTTTTTTCTTATAACATATATACATTTGTACTCTTCAAAAACTTTTAAAATGCATCACAAAAATTTATTTTCATGTTCGAAACTAACTAAATGTTAGATGCGACCCTTCTAACTTGCTTAACAAATATGATACGTATGTACTGCTACATTTAATAAAATGTATAAAATAGATTCCGCAGGGTCCTTTGAACAGGTTGATAAAGGAGAAAGAATGCTATTTATAATCAGACACATGCACAAAATTAAATGTCAACACAATGATTCTAGTAATTCTGGTACCAAAATGTGCATCAGCTAGATCTTACACCAAAGATAACAATACATATAAACCGTTTGCTTTGAATCTGGGGTGGGGGAGTAGGGTGGGTTATGGAGATAAGACGTCACAAGAATGATTTGATTTTCTAAATGGATTTTTATTACAATTATCATTGTTCTATGCTTGAAATACAAGAAAATCGTATTTTTGTAAGAGACAAACTTATTGTTCATGCCACTTGAACCTCATTAAGTGTAAAGTAACAAATATATTTTGCATAATAAGGATTAAAACTATAAAGTTATAACCGTTACGACATACATACCTTCCGTCGGTTCCTGGGTTTAATGGGCGGTTTCTCCGGATCCGAGCACGTGCTAAACTGTAACCCTTCCTCGCACAACACCACATAATCCCCCTCTATATCAATTTGTTGCTTACTGGCTCCCATCATCAACTCTTAAACACAATCTTCATAAAACCAAATCTCTCGATGTCAATATATATCCAATTTATACGTTCACTATCCCAAATTTTATTGTGATTTATAGAACAGTTTCCAAGCGCTAGATAAAATCAAAATCCACATCAAAAAGATCAAAAGTTCACAAAGTCATGTCTCCAAATATATTAAATTTTGTGTGAAAATAGAAATGGTCCGTCGGAAACAACGAGCTATGTTTAAAGACATGTTACATACGATGTAAACCATGTTCCGGTCGTCCGATAATGCATTTGACAGGTTTCGCTTTCCTTTAACAAAACAATAGTCATTAATATTTATATGAATAGATTTTTTATTTACAAAACACAAGTAATGTCACAAATTTTATCGAATCAATCAAACAGTCCTGTTCACATGTCAAATGGCGCCCTCGCCTTTCAGTTCTTGATAACTTACTCCTGTGTGAAAAAAGACGTATCACTCGATCGATCAAAAATCGAAGTTCTGATCCCTTAAGGGTTTGGAAACGCGTTTATAGCTAAGAAATATTACACCATAGACGGTGACCTCAGAAGAAGCAAACAAAGTTATTCAAAATGTTTAAAGTGTTTAGTTGTCGGATAGTAACGTTTGTAATACTAATAACAAATAAATTGACTCTCGTAATATTTTCAACCTTGTTCAAATAGTTTTCTTACTCACGGCATAAAATTCAAATAAACTTTTCCGCGGGTCGGTGATTTTTTTTGCAATAACTGACATTTTACGAATATAAAGAGTAAATTATCGTCATCATCGCCCCTGTGTGTGCATTCAATTTAAATACCTTTTTACAACTCGGTTTAATTTGCTAGGTAGATTTTATCGTAAAGGCTATTAGAACATGACTCAGTATCACAAAAACAACATCAGCAGTAGGGAAAACAAAATAATTATTATAATTTTGTGGTGAATTTATCGTACTGATATTCCATATATCATAAACATTAAATATGTATAGTTTGATAAACAACAATGAGTTATATATGGTAGGGGAAAAACATGCATTATCATTACCCAGCAATTTTTATGAGCAAAATAGAAAAAAGAAAAACTAATCCTTTTTCCACTTTAAAATTGCGATAATTTGACAAAAAAATAAGACATTTTTAAGCTAAACAAGTCTGTAACTATTATAAACTCATACACGTGTATATACATATTTTGATGAACAACAATGAGTTGTTATAGGGAAAATATTACACCCTATCATTACTTTGCACATTTTTATGGTATTATCAAAAAAAGGAAACAAAATAGAAATAAAAACAGGCAAAAAATGTCTTTTCTCACTAAAATGCTATGATGAATTTCACAATTAATATATTTTTAAGCTCTCTAAAACTTTGTCACTACTTATATTATAAATTAATAATTTCACACCTTATAAAAAACGTAAAATTTCAATAGAAATCATTATTGGGTTTATTCTGATCAATTGAGCTCATTTTCATTTCCATCACATCCGCATCAAATGCCTAAAAGCATCGTTTTCATTTCCAGAGTCATAACGTCCATATCAAATCCGCATCACATCCTTTATAGCCTCGTTTTCTTTCCCAGAGCCCAAATGTTCATATCAAATCAATATCGCATCCTAGTCTCGTTTTCATTTTTTGAGAGTTCAAAATTATTATCTACGGCGTATTGTCAGCGTAGCGACCTTTTCGAAACTGATTCTATATTATACTATTTCGTTTTAAGATTCAATTACTGTTTTAACTTTCAAACACTATACAAAATTGGAGATGAGAAAGTATCTCCTTACCAGTGCAGCAAACAAAATGTAGCATCCAGTTCTGTCAAAATGTCAAATAATGGTGGTGAAAACTAAAGACATGAAGAGGTCAGAACAATACTGATTATATTGGACTCGTACACAGCTGCAAAACCTTATCAGACTCGGACAGCGCTTCGTCCAATACAGCTTTGACAGCTGTGTACTCATCCAAATGAATTCAGTATTGTACTTGAAATGGTATAACAACCTTATGTTCGAAGCAGATATAAAATAAGAGGAATGTATTTGGAAAAGAATGCCTATAAAGATATGTATGATAATGTATCTTCGACCTGCAGAAATATGTGGCGTGATCTTCTAACACCATCAACTGTTACAGATAATGTGATATCAAACAATATTGTACACGTCAGGTGCAATACGTGATGATATCAACTAAAAGATCATGTCGGTTTTTCCCATGATGTATTCTTGGACATATTACAAGTTTACATACCAGATAGAATGCAAAACATGTTAGTGTATACATTTTAGAAAATTTATTTACATAACAACATTCCACATTCACAATATGCTCGATCAATGACGCAATGGAAATTTATAAACGGTGAAGATCGTTATATATTTTTTGCAGTTAATTAGTGCCGTCTGCAAAATTTGATATTCCTGGGATGTATGGCACGTACAGATGCATTTTACGCATACCATCTAACGTAATAAACCTATGGTAGCTGGTAAGTGCCATAATTATACTGTTTAACATGAACAACCTATGGTAGCTGGTAAGTGCCATGTATCGTTCTTACGTTAAAAAATAGTGGCAACGCCATAGTGGCGTGTCGAATCTTAACGTCTGCCTTAATTATCAACATGGCAGACAAGCAGATATACATGTATCTGTAGAATTGATATAATAATTTTGGTGAAGTACATGTATATCAATTATTTTAGCTTAAAAATTATTATATATAAATATACGAAATTAAAATAAGTTTAAAATGGTTAGAAAAACTATAATAAGCTGTGCTTGTTTTGTTTGCTTGTGTTTTTTTTCGCACGCAGTGAATATACGCAACTTATAAATACGAATAAATTTTCTCAAGTTAGATTTTCTTGAAACATTTGGGCTCATCTGAAGGCATCTTTAAATCGTTGCAAACGTGAAGAAAAAGGTCGACCTAGGCATTCAACTAATGACGTAAAAGCAATATTCTCCAGGGCGTTCAGCACTTAGAATTTCATTCACTTTAATGAACCCTTTGACATCAAATTTAAAATGTCCTTTTAATGTATTTCAAATGGTTTACTTATTCAACGATACAGCAACAATGTCAATCCGCCTTTAACAAACAAATAAAATTGCTTTTCTGACATCACTTTAAAATGTTTAACCTCCTTTATAGAAAAAAGAGAGAAAGAAAACGAGCAAAATCTATTTGTGACCAGAAATGTGATTGATGTGGTCTATATAAAAAAAACCTAAAACCACATTAACTATAACAAGAGCAATAAAATAAAACAAGCTCATAAATAATGTACAACAACATATTTATATATTATAGTGATTATCGACTACATTTTATTCTTTAAATGCACATTTTACTGTAACTGTAACGTCTCCAGCTCTAAAGCTTATTCTGGGGCGTCCGTGACCAAATGGTTAAGGTCGTTGACTTCAAACCACGTTTGTCTCAATACAAACGTTTTTAAAGAAGACCAGACAAGTTTAAACCTTCACCAATACCTTGCTAACTCGGATGCTATTTCTATTATATTATAACTTTAGCTTGTTACATACATGTACATAAATTATGTAATTTAAAGGACGATGAACATAACATGGACTCTCACTGTGCCTGTAATTAGTACATAACATGGACTCTCACTGTGCCTGTAATTAGTACAGAGGAGCACCGGACATCATCTTTTACCAGTATTTCTAGATAATCGCCAGTTCTATAACCATTTTAGGACCGATTTGACTTGAAAATCAGCCTGAAAAGAAAATGTAAACATAATATAATTACATTTTATCTAAAATTTATCACTGGCATAAACTTTATATATTGTAAAATGCGATGAATTAACGAAGTATTTCAAGTACGATGACTCAGTTTCTCTTTGGGCAGTTTGTCCTCGAGAGTGTGTTGACCACTTTACAATGACCACTGACCACGAGATAATTACCACTTCACAGACGTCTTTATTCATGAATTCACGGTTTTAAATTTCACTCCGTTGACGATGTGTGTGAACAAACTACAGGACAGTGGGTGATTTGTCATCGCTTATCATTTGGGATTTTTGAAATGGCTTCCCATTCGAGTGTAAATTAATCAGATATTGGGAGGTTATTTTGCAATCGTAAAGTTAAGGTCCGGGTCTGATTTACTAAGTTAACTCCAATTGGAGAGAGATATGATAACAATAATATTCCTTCTATTTTACCCATTTCCGTTTCCGTATTCAATCTGTCACTGCTGAAATAATATGCCACATATGTAACGGCGAATCTTACGGCGGAGTGGATACATGGGATAGCTTACGGCGGAGCGGGTGTTTATGTCATAAGACATTTACATTGAATTATATAGTAAGGTTGGAAAGGTCACATACCGCTTTCCATAGCCACAAGTATAGAGTCAGGGCAGTCTGCACGTCAAGGCAGTCTGATCATGCCATGTCCTGTTAGTCGCCCTTTGTTATCTGATGAACGGTAACAAATGCCAAACAGGACGAATCCATCGCACAAATTCGATATTAAGTTAAGGTAAACAAGGTTAGCTTTTAAAAAAGCTAGTAGCGACTCGCTTCGTAATTTTTTTCCAGGGGTGTGTTTAAATGTAAAAATGACAGTTCTGTTAGCTGAAGAGACTTGAGCAAACATCAAAATAAAAGTGATGGAAGCCAGTTCTCTCAGTTTAACAAAGAGGAATATGAGTATATATGAAGATGCATGTAAACAGATAAAATGAAGTCCCTATGTCTATGCACATTTACTGTATGGCCTGTTGACCTTGACCAAATAAATGTTAGATAGGTAGAATTCATAAAGATGTCTCTTTATACGAAGTTAAGTTGTAATATGTTATTTAGTATTGGAATGAGTGACAGACACAAGTCCTAAAGTAAACACAAGTTGTCAATCAATTCAGCCAGAAAAGCCGGGATCCTATTAGATATATAGGGATCCCGGAAATTGACCAGTCTAAGATGTTTTTCAGATAAGCCGGGATCCTATTAAAACATATAGGGATCCCGGGAATTGACCAGTTCAAGAATATAGTTTTCAGAAAAGCCGGGATCGTATTAAAATATAAAGAGATCCCAGGAATTGGCCAGTTCAAGAATATAATTTTCAGAAAAGCTGGGATCGCATTAAAACATAAAGGGATCCCGGGATTTGACCAATTCAAGAATGTAGTCTTTGATTTTTCCAATTAATTAGGCATATAATTATAAGTATTGTGATTTCCGCATTTTAAGTTTGTTAATAAATAGCTCTAAATATATTTATATCCTAAGTTTAATTAATTTAACGTTCATTACATACAATAAAAAAACTTAACGTTTAATGGCCTTTCATTACGACAATAATCAACACAAATATAGTTTATTAGTTTTTCCTCTTA